ATGAATAGGCCATGGTTGATGTAGCAGCAGAGGTTGGAGCTGATGCCGTTGCACATGGATGTACTGGCAAAGGAAATGACCAGGCAAGTACTTGGAATGTCCTGCTTATGCGTCACATTGAAAAAACACACATTGATTCTTACGTTACTTTTTGTACTGATTGATTGACCAGGTTCGGTTTGAGCTCACCTTCTTTTCATTAAACCCTGAACTTAAAGTTGTTGCACCATGGAGAGAATGGGAAATCCAAGGCAGAGAAGATGCTATTGAGTATGCAAAGAAGCATAACGTTCCCGTCCCAGTGACAAAGAAATCTATTTACAGCCGGGACAGAAACCTGTGGCACCTTAGTCATGAGGTAAAGTAAAAGTCAGATGGTTGTTTGCATTCCCTTTACAGATACAAAATTGATCCAGTTTGTCACATTGCTCAGTTCCTAATAATGTGTCTCATGCTCTGATATCGAACTTTTTGTGTTTTGTTGAAAGGGTGATCTATTGGAAGATCCAGCAAACGAGCCAATGAAAGATATGTACATGATGAGTGTAGATCCTGAAGATGCTCCTGATCAGCCTGAGTAAGTTGCTTTACTCTAAAGTTCTAAACCTGTGTTTGGAATTTCTTTGAGTCCTTGTCTTAACTATGCACTGTAATTACCCTAGGTGGTTTGTAGTTGATTATAGCAGTTTAACCGTTTAAAAACTAAAGTTGAGTCGGTTAGCTACAGAACTGAGGTTTAGGCAGAATGTGTTGGGGTGTTCAGGATTTGTCTACGGTTTGGGATTGGGAATCAGATCTAGAGTAGAGAGTTGTTTTGTTGATCAAGTCTTTCAAAGTAGTTAACCGGTTTAGCTGCTATCATATTTATATATCAAGAATAGGATTTACAGTTTGTATCCTAACTTTTGATACTTGAACATTTAAACAGATACATCGTAATTGGGATAGAATCTGGAATTCCAGTGGCTCTGAACGGGAAGGCTCTGAGTCCAGCCACACTTCTGGCCGAGCTAAACATAATAGGAGGAAAGCACGGGATTGGGCGGATTGACATGGTTGAGAACCGTCTGGTTGGGATGAAATCACGAGGTGTCTATGAAACCCCTGGAGGCACCATCCTCTTTGCAGCTGTACAGGAACTAGAATCCCTCACTCTAGACAGAGAGAGTATTCAGGTAAAAGACTCATTAGCACTGAAATACGCAGAGATGGTCTATGCGGGAAGATGGTTTGATCCGCTTAGGGAGTCCATGGATGCTTTCATGGAGAAGATAACTGAGACAACCACGGGATCAGTGACACTGAAGCTGTACAAAGGATCTGTGTCAGTGACAGGGCGTAGGAGTCCCAACAGTCTGTATAGACAGGACATATCTTCGTTTGAAAAGAGTGAAATCTATAACCAAGCGGATGCAGCCGGGTTTATTAATATCTTCGGGCTTCCAATGAGAGTGAGAGCAATGCTTGAGAAAGGAATCTAGAAAGGGTTTCATTCATGTCTTACTTGGTATTGAGAGCCTGACATTAGAACATCCCTTATTGTGCTTCTTCAGCTACTTTGGAAATAATCCTATCATCTTTGTTCACTTTGGAAAAACTTGAGAAATTTAATAATGTGCTTCATGTTTATGTCAACTTAATATTTCTGTTTCTCCGTGAATGATCACGAAAAAAAAATATGAATTTCCATTGGACAAATATGAACTCCATTCACTTTTACAATTTTAAAATTAAATAATTATACGACAAATTATTTTCTTATCATTGTAAAAAAGGAAAATGTAAATGTAAATATAAGATAAGGGTGTTTAAGGTAATGAATGCGAAACCTATTTTATTTATTTATATACAGAAAAACCCATCGGACCTGAAATCTCTAGTTCGCTCTTCCTCCTTGTTCAAGCAAACACTTCTCTCATTTATTTTGCTCTCTCTCTCTCTCTCTCAGATCCGATTCAAGCTTTCCGATTTGCAATGGACGGTGGTGCGGAAGGATCTCAGCAGCCTCACCTGATTCTAGCCCACAAGCTCTTCCTTCTCACTCATCCCGATGTCCCAGACATCGAGAAAGTCCAGCTCAAGTCTGAGGTTTTGGATTTCATCAAATCCGATGGTAAAGTAGCTCGCTTTCTCTAATCAATGAGAATTAGCTTGAGATTTTATGTTCCTCGTTGGTGGTTTTTTTTAGGTATGGCTCCCTTGTACGAAACCCTAACGGCCTCTTCGGTACTGGATTTGGATCAAAGCTTGTTAGATTCTATGCGGGCAGCTAACGAAGAGGAGCTTAAGAAGCTCGACGAGAAGTAAGTTTAAATTTTCCGTAGGTTTCCACTGCCGATGCAAAATTTAAAGACTTGCGTATGGATATAATTGGCAGTGCCTTGAAATTCGAATTCTCGTATTACTGTCTTTTGGGTTAGATTGATGTAGGGGGGTCTGTAGCATTTTGATTTACTGGGTCTTGAATTGGATGTCTCAGAATTTTGTTCCCCTTTGAATTTTGGGAATATCTACTTTCCTCTGTAGCTGATGTAAAGAGTTTGAGAAACTGAGTTTTAGAGATGATGTAGGTTTGTTAACTGTCGATAGATTTCTCACATGGAGATAACCATTATCTAATGATGTGCCCTATCATTGGTTTCTAAGTCCATCTTGGCATCCACATTATTTTTGTTCAAAATTCTGATTCAGCATGTCATCAGTCAAATAATTTCACTATTGATTCTTGTTGAGTATTTCATAATTTACGCTACTCCAGATGTTCTCATATATAATCTTTTTGTTTTTCACCTTTGTATAGGATTGCAGATGCAGAAGAAAATTTGGGTGAAAGTGAAGTACGTGAAGCTCATCTTGCTAAGGCTCTGTATTTCATCAGGATTAGTGATAAGGTATGTGAGCATGTCAAAGTTAATAGTTATCTACTTCAGAAAACTTCCTTGGCCATTAAATATTTACTTTGTGACCCTAGGAGAAAGCTTTGCAGCAGCTAAAACTCACTGAAGGGAAAACTGTTGCTGTGGGCCAAAAAATGGACTTGGTATTCTACACATTGCAACTTGCCTTTTTCTATATGGACTTTGATCTGGTATCAAAGAGCATTGAGAAAGCAAAAAAGTAAGTGTCAGTTTGGATGCATTATGATTACTTGTCATGGATAGTGCAACTGAAATTTTTGATCTAACACTTTCCGTTTTCCCTTGTCAGATTGTTTGAAGAGGGTGGTGACTGGGAGAGGAAGAATAGGCTAAAGGTCTATGAAGGTTTGTACTGCATGTCCACCAGAAATTTTAAGAAGGCTGCCAGCTTATTCCTGGATTCTATATCAACCTTCACAACATATGAAATTTTTCCGTATGAGACCTTTATTTTCTACACCGTCCTGACAAGCATCATAACTTTGGACAGAGTTTCCCTAAAGCAAAAGGTATTTCTCAATGGCTCAGTCCTCCACTTGAGTTGTCTAAACTTAGATAAAAACTTTTAGTATGTCGACGTATTAAAATGATGTATATCCTTGTCATTTGTTGAAATTCTTATCAAAGAATGTAAATTTTTTTTGAGAAAATGATAAAGTGCTACTAATTTGACAGGTCGTTGATGCACCTGAGATCTTAACCGTGCTTGGGAAGATTCCATTCCTTTCTGAGTTTCTGAACTCCTTGTATGAGTGCCAGTACAAGGCGTTTTTCTCAGCATTTGGTAAGTTCCTTACAAGGACCAGAGGTCATATTTCCGCATGCATTGCTTGATATTTCTGTGTGTTTGCTAACTTCATTGACGGCTAATGTTCTCAGCTGGAATGGCGGAGCAGATAAAGTTTGACCGTTACTTGTACCCGCATTTCCGGTTCTACATGAGGGAAGTCAGAACAGTGGTGTACTCTCAGTTTTTGGAATCTTACAAAAGTGTGACAGTTGAAGCAATGGCAAAGGCCTTTGGCGTTTCTGTCGACTTCATTGACCAGTAAGCACGCTAATGAACACTCTTTAGTATCTTTATGTTTGCCACCTCTCTCTTTAGAAGCATACAATAACACGATAGTACAAACTTAAAACTGACTTGAATGTTAATTAATATCCAGGGAGCTGTCACGCTTCATTGCTGCTGGGAAGCTTCACTGCAAGATAGACAAGGTTGCAGGTGTTTTGGAGACAAACCGTCCTGATGCAAAGAATGCACTCTACCAGGCAACAATCAAGCAAGGGGATTTCTTGCTAAACCGGATCCAGAAGCTGTCTCGTGTGATCGATCTGTGAGCATGCTACATGTTCCTGTTCCGCTCTTTCTTCAAGCTTTGCGACTTGGTAACTCAAAACGGTAGAAGCTTAAGGTCTGAGAAACGATATATGAATCTAAACTTTGAGATGACTGTCGTCTCTTTTGAGTCTAGTTGGTTTGTCAGTGGTTAATTTCCCAAGAACAAAGAGCAAGTTTAATCTCCAAAAATCTCCTTATAATTCTTGGTCGCAGGTTTTAAGTCTCTTGTTTTCATCGTATCCTATATCTAGTATCTACGACTACCGTTACCACTTACAAAAAAAATTAATATCTCCATATAAGTGTATATACTATGTAAAAGGTAAATATGATCGATTTAAAATGTAAACGCAACATGTACCGAGGGACAAAGAACCGGATTAAAAATTGTATACAAGATAATATGAAAGATTTGAAACAGGAAAGACTTGGGGTCTTTAGTTGAACTTGTAAGAGTTGGCAGGTATTTTGCTGATTCTTCCACGGACGTCTGTTTAGTGTTAGCTGAGATTCTTCACCACATAAATGCATGTCCCAATCACTTATAGGATTTATATTTTGTTTCTTACTGTCAACTAGTGTTTTTGTTGGCTTACTAACAAACCTTTCGTGTTTTGTTCAATAACACATTCTTGAGTTAAGTTAGATCCATTTTCCCTTTGTATTATTACACAGACCAACTTTGTAAACTTTAAGATAAGTGTGATTATTGTGCCTGGTTCGTATCTTATCCGCTTATTTTTGGCAGTGACGGATGTTTTTCATTAAGACGTAAATTACAGAGATTACAGAGGAATTAAATCCGAAGACGATTATGTTTCCTTTAAAAATTAACAAAACTCAGTTTCATGACGCCATCTCATACACACAATTCTCTCAAACTTTATCCACTCCTCCTTATCACTCTCCTCAAATTTCGAAGAATGCATGCGATCGATTTCAAAGAGATTCAGGAGAAGCTCTCTGATGGATTCCGGCCTTGGCAACGCTCGTTTCAGTTCTGGGCTCGTGCCACTGACATCTACACTGGATACAAGGTTTCTCTTTGATATGATTGGTACTCCTTTCTTCTTCATGTTTCGTTTCTTATACATTTTCTTTTGATTCTCTGCAATTCTCAATCCGTCTTCTTCTTCCGATTGGCTTTTAGGTATTTCAACTTCGTATGAACTTCGTTAAGGATGTCAATAAGCACGAGGACATGTGGGAGAGACAACATGAACTTGCTGCTCACAAAATTTATTCCATGTGCTCTGACCTTGGTGGTTTCTTCCTTAAGGTGATGTATCTTTCTTCCGATTCTCCATTTTCGTTTTTTGGTCTATAATGTCTTGGTGTGTTGAGACTGTTGTTGAGGTTTCTGATTACCACAAGGGACTTCCACGTTTTGGATTGTTATGAATTTCTCATCTTAAATCTTGTTGTAACATAAAGTATGAGTTTTTTTGTTTCTTATATGAGAAAGAAAGTTACTCTTGGATTGTTCACAGTTGCTTATGATGAGTTTTTTACTCTTTTTTTTCATTTTGTTCAATAGATTGCACAAATTCTAGGTAAACCTGACTTGGCTCCAGCTGCGTGGGTTAGAAAACTAGTCACTTTGTGTGATCAAGCTCCTGCCACATCATTTGATGCCATTCGAGTTGTCCTTGAGAAAGAGTTAGGTAAAAGCATCGAAGATGTGTTTGAAACATTTGATGAGAAGCCTCTTGGCTCTGCTTCTATTGCTCAGGTACTCCATTCTTCATCACTCATAGTTTGAGAACCTTTGTAATGTATTACCGTGCATGCTTATAAATTCAGATTAAGATCATATATAGAATGGCTAAGAAAGTCTCAACATATACTATATTTCTCTTTCTTTTTGCTTCTATGTAGGTACACCGAGCAAGAGTAAAAGGTGGTAAGAGGGATGTTGTTGTAAAGGTGACAAATAATCAGGAGAAAATTGAAATCTTCCTAGCCTACTTTTAATTGGTTTCTGAATGTGCTACGACATGTTTAGGTCCAACATCCTGGCGTTGAGAAATTGATGATGGTAGATATCAGAAACTTGCAAATATTTGCATTATACATGCAGAAAACTGATATCAAATTTGACTTGTTCTCCATGACAAAAGAAATCGAGAAGCAGGTATATATCATTCTTTCTATCTTTTGAGGGTATCTGGTAAGAACTTTACAGCCCCCAAGTCACTATAAGTTCTTGTTTTTCATTTTCTAGATTGGGTATGAATTCGACTTTAAAAGGGAGGCCAATGCTATGGAAAAGATCCGACGTTTTCTTTATGATAACAATAGAAAGAGTCCTGTCCTGGTTCCCAGGGTGCTTCCAAATTTGGTGACCAGGTACTTATTCTTATATCAGCACTCTGGTTATCTCATTCTCAATAATGTTGAAGGCTCTTTAGGTTGTCCTGTTTCACTGATCAAGAATGATGGTTCCCGTCTTTTCGACAGACTCTCTTTTCATTCGAAAATTCTTTTATTTTCGGTTCTATGAACTAATCAGTGCTGATCAGAGAAATAATCATAATACGCGCAGAAAGGTTCTGGTGATGGATTACATGAACGGAATCCCAATCTTGAGCCTCGGTGATGAGATGGCCAAAAGAGGGATAAATCCTCATGGTAAAGTGGCAGAGGCGGCAAAATTGTAAGCTTTTCCATTATTTATCTCAGATAGGTTTTTTCAAATGGCATTGGCGGCTTTTAATAGTTATTTCTTGGCTAGAATTTGAATCTTGTCTGATGCTGCATTGGAAAATGTTTTTTCTCCTAGCAATATACTAAACAGTTTGTCCCAAGCATATGGCCAAATGATACTGAAGAGTGGTTTCTTTCATGCTGATCCACATCCTGGGAATATCTTGATTTCTAAAGGTTCAGAGGCAAGTCATCTTTTGTGTGTAGTTATTCCTTAGTAGTTTCTTAATTGATTTACTGTGGTCTTTTGATTTGTAATGTTGTTTCCCGTTGTCAGGTTGCACTGTTGGACTATGGACAAGTGAAGGAACTCCCTGACCACCTGAGACTTGGTTATGCAAATTTGGTAATTGCCATCGCTGATAACAATGCCTCATTGGCATTACAGAGCTTAAGGTGAAGTGACTTTGTTATAATGATTACGGTTTTAATTGACTCTGAAAATTGGTTAGAGTCACCTGATCTGATTATTGTAGCATATGATTATTCCTTAAGATGTTTCCGTGGTGAAAATTCAGGGAACTTGGTATAGCTACAGTTGCCAAGTGTAAGAATGAGCAACAAGAGCTTCTCCAGTTAGCGAAAACAATGTTCGACACAGAGATGCCTCCTGGTACGAAAACTCTGCAACCTTTCTCAGTTGACTCTTCGATCAAAAAGATTTCGGTTGAGGTAAAAAAAATAACACCTATTCAGTCAACAGTTGTGTGTGTGTGTGTTTTGAATATACTGCAAAAATTGACCGAGTGTGTTTGTTGGTTGTGGGTAGGCATTTCCAGAGGAGCTTTTCTCTGTTCTTCGCACTGTTGTTATGTTAAGAGGACTCAGCGTAGGGATAGGGATAAATTACTCCTGCGCTCAACACTGGAGGTCTATGGCAGAAGAGGCTTTGCTTGCATCCGGAAGACTCTCAACAGGTTAAGACAATGAACAACTCTTTGATAGTGAGTGATTTACCAAAATCCGCTGTAATAATGGGAATAAAAATTTCAGGTAGAAAGCACAAGCGTCGATGTAATTCTCTGAGAAGGCTATACCCAGGGCGAAAAGAGAGTTAATCATTTCACCAGTCTCTTGCAAATGATTCAATCTTCAGATGAGAGTTAATCATTTCCCCAGTCTCCATCTTTACATTATTTTCTGGATACAGCTAAGGCAGCAAGTTGTCTCTTATCTTAATCGGTTTAGTTAGTTTGCATAGTGAGTACACCTTTATAAAAGTTTTGTCATTATAATGTTAGATTTGAGCACAAGGAGATTATCATAAGTTTTAAAACTCTACTTTTGTGAGATACACCAACAAAGTTTTATGGCAACTAGGAAGTATGAATGCATCAAATTTGTGAGTGCATCATAATGAACCAGAAGTAGCTTCAAACCGCATTAGCAAAATATCGTTGGTTGTGGCTCGAACCTAAATTTGAGCATGAAATTCATTTATTTCCATGCTGATTTTTCAATATTTCCATATCATGTTAATTCAATTTTCCAATGTTTTCGACAAATTTTAATTAATGAAATAAGGAAAATACAAAAAGGTGTATCAGTATAATTTATTGATGTATACATTTGCAAGTGTATAATAAATGATAGAAAATGAAAATACACCCAAAAAAAGAAACAATTTGCTTTCAACCTATCAACGAAACTATGTATTAAATGAAACAAATTAAAACAGACTACTTTTTAAAATCTTTATGTGTTTAGTTGATGTTCTTTCTAAAAACAATCTCAGTATCAAGCCCAAACCCATCGATCTTCCTCATTTCCACGACCTTTGATCTCTTAAACAGATTCACCAATGGTTTCACACTAAACAAATCGTTAGCCGAGTACTTATCCGTCTTCCCAGATATCGACACGTGTAACACACACACACCTCCGGGCTTTAACGTCCGTTCGATCTCCCCAACGAACTTCTCCGGGTAAAGCGCGTGATCGAACACGTTTGAGAATTCGAAATCGAATGTCTCCTCGTCGAACGGCTGCGCGTGGAAGTCACCTTTCACAACCAGAGGTGGTCGCGGCACCAGATCTATCCCGACGGAGTCTTCCACGCCGATCAATCTCAACGCCGCCACTTCCTGGCCTACTCGCGCGCCGATCGAGAGAGCTTTTGATTGATTTGAGAGGAGACCGCGATCGCTGAGACGTCGGAAGAAAGTGGAGAACACGCGCACTTTCCTGTCCCAGTCGCGCGTGGTCCATACCTTACGTAGCTTCGGGTTTTGAGTTTTGTTGAGCTGGTGTTTGATGTAGGCTTCGTAGGAGGAGTATCCATGATGACGGATCCGTATCCCTTCGTCGGCAACGGCGATAACGGAGGAGGAGAGAGGACGGCGGAGGAATGTGGTGGGGAAGGCGAAGAGGAAGATGATGAGAAGAGAGAGGGAGAGGAGGAGAGAGAGTGTGAAGGGTAGTTTTGGTATTACGAATTTCATTTTTAGCTTCGAGACTTCGCTTTCTTGTTGTCTCTGTGTACATCGAAGCATATATGGGAATTATTTAATTAAAGAAAGAATAAAATAATGATTAAAGGTTGGATGATAATTAGAAAAATACCAAATGCAAATAATATAAGTTTTTTTTTGTCTAATTGCCATTAAGGCGTTATTATTGCCTCTAAAATGAAACTTAATCCAAGATAGACCCAAAGTTCCGTTGGACTAAATTCAGAGCAATAAAAAAGGTCCTCTGAGGAAAACAAAAGTTTAACATCCATGAAAAGAGAAGCTCCCTTGGCAGAATTCTCAAAGCCTAAAAGTGCAAAAAAAACAACCACAGGGATGCTCAAGAGAGAAAGAAACTTGTACATTCTATCAGGTTTTTAGTTCCCACACCATTGGGGTATCTCCTCTTGGTCTAGCCTAGATTAGCATCTTCAGTTAGGCATGTTAAAAACGACGATGAAACCCAACCATTCTTCTTCCCATGCTCCACATAGTCCTTGAATTTCTCCTTTGCGTTTGGGATGTCTAAAGCAAGATCTTCGAGCCCGTCTTTGACTCTTGTGAACCCTTTAGTCATCTGGTTTGTGGTTATGAGTCCTTCACCGAAACTCTCCTGCAGAAGATCCAACATCATCTTGTCCTTCTTCTTCTCCATACCCATCACCAGTGCTTTCTTCACCACCTCATGGTTAAAGAAAGGCATGCCTAGCTCATGGATGCATTTGCACGCTTCTGATACCAGCCCTGAGCTTTCATATTCCTCCAGCAGATTCGATATCTTGTCTTTTGCATCTTCCACTGCCCAACCGCTCCCACCTCCCCAGCATCTTAGAAGCCTCTCTCCTGCATGTCGAGCAAAGATAAGTGACCTAGCCATCTTCACGGTTTCAGTTCCGCTTGAGTTAGGTCGCAGTTTGCTACAGATCTCTTCCAGGTTGAAAGGTGCTAAAACATCATCGATCACAGCTCTAGCTAAGAACAAAGCAAGTTCGTTGGAAGCATCCAGAATGTCAAGAGCTGTATCTTCTGCAGACTCCAGGAGCATGACAAAACCATCTGCAACATCTTCTGTGGTGAACATCTCAATGTGAAGAGATGAGAGAAGAACAGATGCCATTTCTTTCTCGTGATTCTTCCTGTCCAGAGCAAGTGTTATCAGCTTCTTTAGAAAAATTGGGTTGTACTCCGGTGCTCCTAAATCCTCAAGACTGCGTATGAGTTCTGGTATGTCATCGGAATTGAAATACTCATGAATGATGGTCACAATGTCTTCCTTAAACCGCTTTAGTTTCTCATCTTCGATCTGCTGTCGTCCACATTCACCAGAGGGATAACCAAATGAAGCATCAAGCCAACCACCTGAGACAGCTTTTGGCACAATCAAATCAAATTTGGTTCTAGCTGAAGGAATGTCAAGAGCAAGATCATCAAGGCTTTCTCTTAACCTTGAAAACCCCTTCACCATTTGACTAGAGCTTATCAGGTTTTCTGAAGCTGCTTCCTTCAGCAGTTTCAATACGAGTCCTTCTGCTGCGTGGTTTTCCATGGCAGTAACTAAGGCCCTCTTCACAACCTCATGATGAAAAAAAGACACACCCAACTCTCTAACGCAGCGACATGCCTCATAAGTCTCTCCAGTCTCCACATATTCATTCAAAATGTCAGCAATCTTCTTCTTGACTTCCTCAACAGTCGTTCGAGTCTGTCCACCCCATCTTCTTTCTACGAGCTCGGCATGGTGTGCAGCTGATAGATAGCTTTTCTCTGCAGTTTGGACAACCTGGTAACCTTTGGAAGTTACTGGAAGTGCCTTGGCCGCCCTGGGAAGAAAAGCTGGAGGAAGGATGTCATCCACAACCGCACGTGCAAGGAACAAAGCAAGGACATTGACAGCATCAGGTATATCCACCACAAAGTCATCAGCTGACTCCAGCAGCAGGACAAATCCATCTCTTATCTGGTTCGGGTTAATGACATCAGCATACAATGCGGAAAGCAACACTGAGGCCATTTCCTTCTCTTTGTCATGCCTGTCCATGGCTACTGAGACAAGCCGCTTGATGAAGTAGGGATGATATTCACTTGAACCAAGTTCAATGAGGTCAGCTGCTGCCACATCAACATCACCAGTGCTGAAGTATTCGTTAATGATGGAAGCTGCAGCTTTCTTGTAATCATCTAATGGGTCTGACAGAGTTGCACCAACAAGCTCGAATGGTTCCTAATATAACAAAAAAATACAAAGAAAGCTGATCGTGATGAATTCTAGAAAACAACACGCAACGGATAAACAACAGAAACAATTTTGCGCAACTACTTTGGCAACAAAATAATCAATCATGAAACTCAAATAGTTACGAAAAAAGTTGATAGAGATGCAGAAACTACCTCTCCACTGTCATAATTTGGATCATTCCGGTCAATGTGATAGTCTCCGTCAGTGTCAATAAGTTTTCCCCAATTTCCTTTCCCACCACACCCATCTGAAATAAAATGAATCAATCACTACCACCATATGCAATCTATACAATTAACAGCTCCAGATTTGACTAAAAGCCATCCCCTGAAACATGATGGTTTAGAAACATAAGCTACAAATCCAAACTGATTAAAGTAGTAACTGACCCTTCTTAGATCGGGTAGACCTCCCCGCATGAGACCTTCTGTGCTTCACAGCATTTGACGCACCAGAAGCTTTCCCACCAGCAGATACTTTAGGGAGATGCTCAAGCAAAACCGAGTGAGGTTTTTGTGAGGGTGGAAGATCATCTGCAGTCTGTGTAGCTTTTTTCATCATCTCTCTCTGCTCATCCGTTAGGAAACCCTCCATCTTTAGCAATTACTCTAATAGTCAAACATCATTAAATCAATCCTTTAACAAACATATACCATACGATAAAATTCAACAACGTCTAGCTATCTTATAAGGACTCGAGAACATATTTGAGCTATAGCAGTTTTGAAACTTCCAAACCTAAAACCACAAGACAATGATGTGAAACGACGTAAATGGAGATCTAAATCACCAAACCATAATCCAGAAACTAAATAGAAGTAATGAAGTGTAAAGCCTGTGTATCTCAAGCAAGGTTCCAAAAAATTGCTATCCGTCTATTTCCTCTCATATTTCTACAGCAATCAATCAATCATCCGCGGGACTAAAATGCCAAAACCAAAACATTGGAGAAATGTTTGAAACTCCAAGTACCAGTAAATGTAATGTTCAAATAGAGAATCCAAATCCCGAAATGGTATCGCCTCGTCGTCAGCCAAAACGGACGGCGAGATCCGTGGTAAGAACAAAGAGGTCGGAGGCTAGATCGAGAAGCAGAACCCGAGTGTGAAGCTTTCCTGGAAAATACTAGTAATGTTTGAGAGAAGATTGTTTGGAGAAGAAGACGATGGATTTGGGAGTTTGGGAGGACAAATGGAGGCTGCTGCTACGGCTACGGTTTCTCATCGAAGGTCTCATCGCATATACTGTCGCCACGTGTTACTGTCTCAACGGTCACGATTGCTCGTTACAATGTGCCAATGGCATCTGCTAGGGTTATGGATTTAATTTTGGTGTTTTCCTACCAAAATAGTGAAACCAGATCATTTATAAATATCTCTGACAATATCATCTTATCCCAAATTACTAAAAGTTTATCCATATTTTCTTTCTAAATTCAATTCAGTTTATTGCATATTATTGGAAAAATTATCCACTTTTTTTAACAAAAAGTTACTATTGTGTTCACTTTATGCTGATCCGTTTTAATGAATGAGATAATTTGTGAAAACAAAATGAGCTCAGCCAATCAAAGGGTCGCAAGACAGTAAAATTCAGGTCTCTTATAATTTAGGTTGCATGGAAACGAAAACAGAAACGTGGAAACGAAACGTGTGGAAACGGA